TGTTGGCCTTGTCTGCGCAAAAAGGTTGGAAACTTTATCAGCTGGATGTTAAGTCAGCTTTTTTAAATGGTTTCCTTTAAGAAGAAATCTATGTTGAATAGCCTGAGGGATTTCTAGTCAAGGGTAAGGAGGAGAAGGTTTACAAACTGAAGAAGGCTTTGTATGGCCTTAAACAGGCTCCCAGGGCGTGGTACAGTAGAGTTGATGATTATCTTCAAAGTCTTGGATTTGTGAAAAGTCCAAATGAAGCCACTTTATATGTGAAGAAATCAGATGCTAACATAACTGTAGTGTCTATTTATGTTGACGATTTGCTTGTTACAGGAAGCAATGAAAAAATAGCAATGAAAAAATAGTGAATGAATTTAAAGCTGATATGTTCAAAGTTTTTGAGATGACAGATCTTGGTTTGTTGTCTTATTTTTTGGGCCTAGAGGTGAAATAAAGTGCTCATGAAGTCTTCATATGCCAACAGAAGTTTGCAAAGGAAATTCTTAAGAAGTTTCACATGGAAGATTGCAAAGAAATTAGCACACCAATGAATCTGAAGGAGAAGTTCAGTAAAGAAGATGGAGCTGAAAAGGTAGATGAAGGGCTGTACATGAGTTTAATCGGTTGCTTGATGTATCTCACATGTATCTCACAGCCCAAGATCGGACCGGACATAACCTTTGCTGTAAGTTTGCTGTCAAGGTTTATGAATTGTGCTAGTAAAGTTCATTTTGTAGCTGCTAAGCGTATTCTAAGATATTTGAAGGGCACAACCGATTATGGCATCAAATATTCTGGCCTTAAAAATTTTCAGCTCCAAGGTTTTTCTGACAGTGATTGGGCAGGTTCTACTGATGATATGAGAAGCACAACTGGTTTTTGTTTTAGCTTTGGCTCAGGTGTTTTCTCATGGAGTTCAAAAAAGCAAGAGGTTGTTGCTCAAAGCACAGCAGAAGCAGAGTTTATTGCAGCAAATGCTACAGTGAATCCAGCAATTTGGATCCGAAAAATACTTGAAGACTTGCAGATAAAGCAAAATGATCCAACAGAGATTTTTGTTGACAACCAAGCTGCTATTGCAATCTCCAATCTCTGTTAAAGTTACAGCTACAGCTATTGATGCAAGTGTTGTTGACAATTTTTGGAGGTATTTTGTTAAAGTCATTTAGATTTTGTTGTATTTTGCATTTAGATTTTGTTGTATTTTGTTGAAGTCAAAGAGGTAGGTGAACTACCTTGCTTTTTAGGTAGGTTTGGTGAAGCAACCTTTCCCTTGACTTATGGAAAGGTTGGTGAACAAACTTTAGACTAAGCTCCTACTATAAATGTTTACATTATGCTGTAATGGAATTAATAAGAAATTAATTGGTTCTTACACTCACAAAATCTGGCAGAATTTCCTTCTCTTGCTTTAATTTTTCTTGCTCTTCTAAACATCCAAAGTGGTATCAGAGCAACCTTGATCTCAAGGGCTGTGTGGGTGTGGTTTTGAGTGAACGTCATAAGAGAAAGCCACCAAAATAAACCAGATTTTTGTGAAGTTTTTCTGTTTATTTGCTTTTCCTCAAATGGCTTCCAGCAGCATGTCTGCCTTTCACCACCTCATTTTAATGGGGAAAACTATCATGTTTTTGGCTGTGAAGATGAGAGCTTATTTCAAGGGGCTTTGGCATTATGGCAGTATGTGGAGGAAACAGAGTACCTCCACCTCTTAATCAGAAAAATTCCAACCCTTCAGCAGATTAGACAACATGAAGAAGAGGTTTGCTAAGGCTCAAAAGCTCTGTCCTATATCCCATGGCAGCTTTGTGCAAGATCCTTATGTTCACCAAAAGATTATCGACATGTAGACAGCACATGAAGCTTGGGGGAAGTTAAAAATTGAGTATCATGATTCCTTGTGTTCTAGAACAGATGAGTATTCAATTTAAGAAAAGATTTGAAATGTTGAGAAAATGAAGGAAAATGAAAGGTGAAAGATTATGTTTGATAGAGTTATGAATTGTAAACGCTAAATTCGGATTGTTGGGAGAGAGTTAGAAGAGAAGAAGAATTGTGGGAAAGTTATGGTGACTCTCCTGAAAAATTTGAAGCCAAGATTTCTTCTCTTTGAAGAAACCTTGGGGAATGTCAACAAATATCCTTGAATGTACTTTCAAATGCTGTCTACAAGCTGTAGAACAAAGAAAAGCCTATAAGGGAAAGTAAAGAAACCATTGGAGAGAAGCTCTTTGTTGTGAACTCATAAACAAAAAATGCAACGAAGGAGTTCAAGGAGGCCAGCAAACTGATCAGAAAACGGCAAAAATGAAGAGAAATTTCAGAAAAATTGGAGGAGGACAGATTTGCCACGCTTGTGCCACGATTTGGCAAAAAAACAAACCGACACTGAGAACTTACTGGCTGGTTCAGACCTGGAGCTCAAATGTAAGGTGTTGTAGCAATTTGGTCACTACCCCGAAAGTTTGTTTCTACAAACCAGAATCAACAAACACAAGCCCATCATGCACAAGTCACTGAAAATTCTGAAAAGTATGAAGAACAACTATTTGCTGCAAATGAAATTAAAAAATGTGGTGTCTCAATTGAAGCTAAAGAAGCATGGCTTGTTGATAGTGGCTGCACTAACCACATGACACCAAACTCGGTGAATTTCGATAGCTTGGATACAACCTATTCTTCAAAAGTCAGACTTGGAGATGGTAGGCTTGTTGATGCCAAAGGCAAAGGAGATGTGATTGTACAAACTCCTTCAGGTACAAAGCTTGTTTCCGATGTTCTTTACGTACCAGAACTATATCAAAGCTTGTTTTCAGTTGGTCAATTGCTGGATAAGAATTACAGTTTGCTATTTAAAGATAAAACTTGTGAAATAAGTGATCCTTCTGGCTCAAGTGATCCTTTCTTGGCTCAAAGTTATTTGCTGTCAAAATGAAACGGAGTAAGCTTTCCTCTAAATTTAAGAGACTTCAATGAAGAATCTTGCTTGAGGTCATAAAGAAGAATCTGATTTGTTGGCATAAGAGACTTGGCTCGCACACCAATCTCATTCATTAAAATTGCTACAATCCAAGAAGTTTAGTTGCTGATTTTGCGCATCTATAGTTTGAAGAAGACAGCAGTATACTGTGAAATAGTGTCAGTTAATATGTCAGTTAGGCAAACTCAGCCAAACACCATTTCCATCTGATCAAGCATGGAGAGCTTCTATGAAACTTGAATTAATACACACTGATGTGTGTGGCTCTATGAGTGTCTCATCTTACAATGACAGCAAGTATTTTCTATTGTTTATTGATGACTACACCAGATTATGCTGGGTATATTTCCTCCAATTCAAATCTGAAGTTTTCAAAATGTTCTTGAAGTTTAAATCAATGGTAGAGAATCAAGTTGGCTCCCCAATCAAGATTTTAAGATCTGATAATGGGGCTGAATTTACATCCAATCAAATCAAGCAATATTTGCAAGAAGCTGGCATTCACCATCAATTAACAGTAGCTTACACACCTCAACAAAATGGTGGTAAAGTGAAAGAAAGAATCGATCTGTGATGAATATGCCGAGATGTTTCTCTTGTTTGAGAAAATCTACCCAAAAGTTCTTTGGGCTTGAAGCTTGTAAAAACTGCTGTATATCTTAAAAATCGGCTTTCCAACCAAAGCTATTGATGGAAAAACTCCTTTCGAAGCTGGTTTGGAGTTACACCAATCGGTTGGTCATCTCAAAATCTTTTGAAGCATATGTTATTCATATTTATTCGCAAATGTCAAAAAAGAGGAAATTGGATCAAACGAGCTTGAAAGGAATTTTAAGTAGGCTAACAGCAGTGAAATCCAGCCTGAGAATTTTTGAATCCTGTTTACTAAAGCAGGTGTATGTCAGCAGGAAGTGTCAAATTCGATGAGAAAGGTGAATGGGATTGGAGTCAAATGGAACCAGAAATTCCTAAATTCATATTCTTGATTTTCAGCAAGAGCAAGAAATTCCAGGCTTGACAATGAAGAAGAATCAAATTGAAGATGAATTAATGCAAATTAGAGGAAGCTAGATCCCTAGAGGGAAATTTACAGAGATGTTATGTTGTCTTCAACTTGAACAAACCTCAGGTGGATGAAGCCTTACAATTGCCTGAGTGGAAGAGCTGCCATGGAGGAGGATTGAAAGAGATGATTATGAAGAATGAAACATGGATTTTAGTTCCTAGACCATTGAATAAGCATGTAATTGGAACTAAATGGGTATTCAAATTGAAATTAAATTCTGATGGCTCTATCAATAAGCACAAAGCAAGATATGTTGTTAAAGGCTACGCTCAACAGCAAGGAGTTGATTTTACAGAAACCTTTGCACCAGTTGCAAGATTTGACACTATCAGATTGATTTTGTCACTAACAGCAAGTGAAGGTTGGCAAGTCTTTCAATTGGATGTGAAATCCGCTTTCTTAAATGGTTCTTTGAAGGAAAAAGTGTATATTGAGCAGCTTGAAGGTTTTAATGATGGAAGTAATAGAGTGTGTTTGTTGAAGAAAGCACTCTATGGTTTAAAACAGGCCCCAAGGGCCTGGTATGCCAAGATTGATCATTACTTGCTGAATTTGGGTTTTAAATGCAGCTTGAATGAGGCAACACTTTATGTAAGAACAAGGAAATGATGTGCTTGTCGTTTCTGTGTATGTTGACAATCTAATTGTCATAGGCAACAATTTACAATCAATTCAAGAATTAAGATTGAAGATGCAGCTGGTTTTTGAGATGAAAGATCTTGGCTTAATGTGTTATTTTCTTGGGATTGAAATTGTTCAAGATGAGCAAGGGATTTTTATTTCAAAAAATGAAATTTGCTTAGGAGTTGCTTAAAAAATTTGAACTTAGCAAATGCAAGCTGCTTAAAAGGTTTTTGAACTTAGCAAATGCAAACCAAGTGAGTACACCTACAGCCCATTGGAATAAATTGCAAAAGGAAGGATGATGGTTCTCACTCTATAGATGCTTCAAATTAAAGGAGAATGGTTGGTTCTTTGCTGTATTTATCTGTAACAAGACCAGATATCATGTTTGCAAAAAATTTACCGTCGAGATTCATGAATTCTCCAACTGAAAACCATCTTACAGCAGCCAAACGAGTTCTGAGATATGTGCGAGGGACTGCTGAATTTGGTTTGTTTTATAGAAGATTAAATGGTGTGAAGTTGTTGGGGTTCTCAGACAGTGATTGGGCTGGTTTATTGGATGATATGAAGAGCACTACTGGTTTTTGTTTTTCACTTGGTTCTGCTGTCATTTGCTGGGGAACAAGAAAGCAAGTTTCAGTTGCTCAATCAACTACAGAAGCAGAGTATGTTGCAGCAGCTAAATCAAGCTATTTAGTTGAGAAAGGTGTTAGTGGATCTGAATTTTCAGCAAGAAAATCCAACTAAAATACTTTGTGACAATAAATCAGCTGTTGCTATGGTTAAGAATCCAATGGTTTAAATCCCAATCTTCCAATGAAAAAACCAAGCATATCAAAATCAAGTATCATGCAATTCGTGAAGCTGAAAAGGAAAATGAAATTCAGATTATTCATTGCAATTCTGAAGACCAAACAGCGGATATTTTCACCAAGGCATTGCAAAAACCAAGATTTGAATTTCTTAGGAATAGACTTGGTGTTTGTCTCAACTCTTGTATCAAGGAGGAGTGTTAAAGTTACAGCTACAGCTATTGATGCAAGTGTTGTTGACAATTTTTGAAGGTATTTTGTTAAAGTCATTTAGATTTTGTTGTATTTTGTTGAAATCAAGAGGTAGGTGGTTCCAAGAGGTAGGTGACTACCTTGCCCTTTTAGGTAGGTTTGGTGAACAACTTCCTTGACTTTGGAAGGTTGGTGACCAAACTTTAGACTAGCTCTACTATGAAATGTTTTACATTATGCTGTAATGGAAATTAAATAAGAAATTAATTGTTTTCTTCACACTCACAAAATCTGCAGCTTTTCTTTTTCTGCAAAATTTTCCTTCTCTTCCTTATTTTCTGGCTCTTCTAAACCATCGAATCTCAAAGTACCCTGTTTTTCATGGAACTAAGCCACTTTAACATCAGGCCTCTATCACTTTGAGGGAAAAAGGAAGACCGGGAAAAAAGCAGAAAGTGGGTGAATCAAGCTAGTTAATTCTTGCAGAACAGAGAACAGTCCTGCAGATATTTAACCAAAGGGACTTCCTAAAGCAAGATTTGAAAGAGTTCAGGAACAAGTTAGGTGTATGCAATACTAGGCCAAGGGGAGATTTTTTTTGCAGAACAGAGGAACAGTCTGCAGATATTTTAACCAAAGGACTTCCTAAAGCAAGATTTGAAGAGTTAAGGAACAAGTTAGGTGTATGCAAATACTAAGGCAAGGAGGAGATTTTTAGTAATTGCCTTTAGTATTTGACCAAGTCTTTACAGTTTTTTTGCTTTTTGAATAAGTCTTTAAGCATGATTTACTTGTTGCTTAATTATAGGAGATTAGTTCAGTTTTTTTTCCGGATTATTAGCAGTAGTTGCTAAGTAGTGATGTCTCTTTTTCTCTATAAATATTCAGCAGTAAATAAGAATGATGCACTTCCAAGTCCAATATATTCCAATTTATAAACAATTTTCATACAACTTCATATCAGTTTTTTTACTACAGTGTCTAAGCTGTAACTGAAAATAGAAGCAGACTTTGTATTTGTAGGAAGTAGTGGTTGCTGCAAGACATATACAGCATCTTGAAGTTCAGCTGAACCAATCATCCTTGAGGTAATTGGGTCCTGTATTAAACAAGTAAAATCTTTTAAGTGCAAGGAACAATGTAGTGTCTTAATGAGTTTGGTAACAGATATTAAATTGAAGCTGAAATTGGGTACATATAAAGCATCAATAACATATAATTATGTACTGAAAAGGACTGTTCCTGAAAAAAGAGCCAAGACAAAAGTATCATTTGGTAGTTTGACCTTGATTGGTTTGATGCATTTATAGGAAGTTAAAAGGGAAAGGAAGTATAGATGTGGTATGTTGCACCTATATCTAAAATCCAAGTACTATCATTGGATACAACAGCAAGGGAAAAGTGATTACCTACAGAGATTTCCGTTTTGGAAGCAATACAGTTACCTACTAAGTTTGATTCTTGTTTTGGCTTAGTAAAATGTTTGACATCAGTTGCCAAATGATTAATGGAGCTAGTAGTGGCAAACTGCTCTTGTATAAGAGAAAATAGTTTTTATGTTGCTCAGGTGTAGAAGTCACAGCAGCATGAGAAACTTGCTCTGGAAATAAAGTTGCATATCATGTTATACCTGCAGAATCATGTCTCTCAATAGAAACTGTATTGGCACTTGTTGAATTATAATTATTGTTGTTCTTGATTTTGTAACCAGAGGAAAACCATGTTTCCTATGGCAGGTCTCAATGGTTATGCCTTTGTCTTCCACAATAAGAGCATACTTAACATTACCTACACTATAATATCCTCCTTTGCCTTTAAAAGAGTTATGATACCCTTTACCAAAACTCCCGTTGATCATAGGCTTGTGATTATTCTTTATTTTCACATTGCTAAAAGAAGTCTCATTTCTAATAGCTTTGCTTGTAAGAATTTTAGAGTCCATGGATCCTATGAGTTGTCTTTCTTGTTGAATGACTAAGGAAAAATACCTTGTTAATTGAAGGTACTTGTTCAATTAACATAATCTGAGTTTTGACATTACAAAATTGCTCATTTAAGCTTTTCAGAAGCTGACTACATAGTCATTTTGCATGTAGGTTTTCAAAGTCAAAATGGCTCCACAGCTACAAGGCACGTTAGAAGAACAACTAGGTATAGGCTTGAGATTCAGTAATTCATCGCACATGATCTAACAAAAGTTATGAGCAAAATATTAAAAGACGAATTTCTCGATTAGATTCACCGTTAGAGATTTTAGGCTCTTGTATATATTTGTAAAAAATAACTGTTACAGCTAATTAGATCTAACACACTATCTAACCATAGTTAAAACTAAATATTGAAAAAAAAAAAAAAAAAGTATAGCTATAGTACCCCCCGCCCTCAAGCTGGAGTGTATATTCAACACTCCAAGCTTCGACAAAAACTAATTAATGAAAAGCAAGAGCATATAAGGCTTAGTAAAGAAATCTACCAACTGATTTTGAGAGGATACTGAAAGCAATTGCAGAAAACCATATTGAACTTTATTGGGAACTATATGACAATCTATCTCGATGTGCTTTATTCACTGGTGAAAAACTGAGATTTTGGCAAGATGAATAGCAAATTCATTATCACAGAACAACAAAACAGAAGGAACAGAAATATGAAAGTCTTCAAACAAATATGCTAACCACTGCAATTCACAAGTAGCAGTGGCCAATGCCCTATATTCAGCCTCTAAAGATGACCGGGAGACTGTACTTTGCTTCTTGGACTTCCAGGATACAAGCGAATTACCAATGAAATTGCAGTATCCCGTTACCGATTTACGAGTAAGAGAACATGAAGCCCAAACAGAATTAGAAAAACCTTGTATTTTTAAGTCATTTGTTCCTAGATAAAAAAGACCCTGTCCTGGAGCAGTCTTTAAATATTGTAGAATTCTATGAGCAGCTTGAAGATAAATAACAGTAGGTTTATCTAAAATTTGAGACATTGTTGGACTGAAAAAGATATATCTGGACTTGTGTTCGTGAGATACAATAATTTTCCAATAAGTTTTTTGTAACCAGTAATATCAGACAACAAAGCAACATTAGAATCATGAAGATCAAGACCAGGAGAGATTGGAGTTTGCACAGGTTTAGCTTCTAAAAAACCAAACTCCTCTAACAATTCAAGAGTATATTTCCTTTGACAGATACTGATTCCCGAAGCACATCTAGCAACCTCAAAACCCAAAAAATACTTCAATGTGCCAAGATCTTTGATTTTGATAGTAGAGTGCAAATAAGCCTTAATGCTTGTAATCTCTTGAATATTATCACTAGCCACAATCAAGCCATCAACGTAAACAAGCAATGCAACAAATGGAGATTTTGTATGCTTGATGAATAAAGAAGAATCTGCATTAGCTTAAGCAAAACCAAGAGATAATAAAGCAGCTGTAAGTTTGGCATTCCATTGCCTACTAGCTTGCTTCAATCCATATAAAGATCTAGTAAGTTTCCACACTTGACGTATGAGTTGCAAGCCTGATGGTGGAAGCATATAGACATCTTCTTAAAGATCGCCATGTAAAAAGGCATTATTTATGTCTAAATAAGATATATGCCATTGTTTGAAAGCTGTAAGAGCTAAAAAAGTTCTTATAGTAACCATTTTAGCTACAGTAGAAAATGTTTCAGTATAGTCCAAACCATTTTGCTGTGTCTATCCCTTAGCTACTAAACGAGCTTTAAACCTTTCTATGGTACCGTCAGCATTATATATAATGCGATATTCCGATTTACAACCTGTCATGTTATCAAGAGGCAAATCAGTGAGTTCCCATGTATGATTAGCCTTTAAGGCATCTAATTCAGCTTGCATAGCAGCCTACCATTCAGGATTTTAACAGCTTGATGATATGTTGTTGGTTCTATAGGTTTGGTAATAGCAACAGAAAAGACTTTGGGTGTTGGTGTTAAATGAGAATAAGAAAATACTTTGGAAATAGAGTGTGAAGAAGTGAATTTCGTACCTGCTGATTTAGAAATGAGAGTCTCGCTTGACTAGAGAAGCTGAATTGCATGTATAATCTTGTAAATAAATGGGAGAAGTTCTAATTTGGGATGATCTCCTTAAAGGAGCCGGAGGAACAGAAACACCATAATCATTTGATGTAGAAGTAGGAGAAGGAATAGAAGGAAAATCAAACAGAATATCAAGAGAAGAATCTGCAGTAGGTAAACAAAGGGAACCAAAATTCGTAGGAATAGGATGTGATTTATATTGGAAAACAGATTCATGAAAAACAAAATTTCTAGAAAGAAAAATTTTATGAGAATTAGGATCAAAGAGTTTATAACCCTTAACACCTGATTTAAAACCAATAAAGACACATTTAGAAGCTCTAGAATCAAATTTAATTATGTTTTTCTCTAAAATAGAAGCAAAACATAAACAACCGAAGACTCTAAGATGAGAATAATTGGATATTTGCTGGTATAAAATCTCAAAAGGTGTTTTATTGTATAAAGCGGGAGTGGGAAGTCTATTTATGAGATGGATTACATGAGAAACAAATTCAGGCCAAGAAAAAATAGGTAAATGACTTTGAAACTTTAAAGCTCGAGCCACATTAAGAACGTGTTGATGCTTTCGCTCAACAACACTATTCTGTTGTGGAGTTTCCACACAAGAAAGTTGACGAATAATACCATGTTGATTATAAAACTGAGAATTATTGAACTCTTAACCATTATCTGACCTTATAATCTTGATGTTAGAATGAAATTGGGTTTGAACAAAAGCATAAAATTATTGAAGTAAAGATCTATCCTCAGATTTGGCTTTCAAAAAATATAACCATGTAAACCTACTATGACCATCAACGATGGTTAAAAAATATTTATAACTGTTTAATGAACAAGAAGTAGGACCCCAGATATCAACATGAATCATGTTAAAACAAGATAGAGTAGAAGAGGAACTCAATGGAAAAGATAATTTCTTTTGTTTAGCACAATGACAAATGTCACATGGCTTAGAACAAGAATCAGACATATTATTATCCAAGGGAATGTAGATGTTTCAAACTGTAATCAGATAAATGTCCTAATCTGAAATGCCAAAGATTAATATCTTGGCTAATACAGTTATTTATTGAACTAAAAGTGCGAGAACTAGAGAAAACATGTTTTACAAGATGATAATGTTAGATTATTTTAATAATCTGTATGTGGCCCATGTGATTAAAGGGCTGGTTCTAATTAAGGTGGCCAAGATGATAGTTATTGGGATTAATGGATAAGAGTCAGTTAGAGTTTTAATACCCTTCCTCTGCCTTTGAATGGATAAGAGTCAGTTAAGAGTTTTTAAATACCCTTCCTCTGCCTATAAAAGATAAAGGAAATCAACAGATTAGGGTTAACACAGAAACAAGAGAGTGTGACGGCTCCCTTCAAACACATACGAAAATAGTTTTGTTTGAGAGAGCTCATAAAAGAAAACGTCTGCAAGCTGTTGATTTTATTCCTCTGACCATTAAGAGAGCAATTATGGACAAAAAGGCCAGAGTGAAGAAACGTAGATTCTGCTGTTCACGGTGAGAATCGAATTGTCCCAACGAGGTAACCTATAACATAGATCTGCCGCTTAAATGGAAGGTACGCTTGCGAATTATTGTATATTCTGTCAAACAATTTCTAATGAACAATCCGATCTAGGCTATATTAAAGTTTATTCACATGTGGTATCAAGAGCATGTACTGTTCTAGATTTGTTTTGATAGCATTTTGTTTGGCTTAATTAATGAAAATTAATTTCGTATTGTGAAAATTGATTTAAATAATAAGCGAAGCCAAAATTATAGAAATTTGAAAACTGTTTGTTTTCTTTATGTTTTATAAATTATTTTGTTGTTATTTATAGAGAATGGTTATGACATATTATTGGGTTATGTCGTTAAAGTTTTACGATATTAATTGAATCTCATAAAAGTTTTGCATAAATCAATGTTTAATGAATGGAAAGCTTGTTAGTCACCAAAATGGCCTTGTTTGGATTGTTTTAGACATTGATTATGCAGTTTTCAATTGTTCATATTTGTGTGATGCCGTTATATGACATGAAAGTGAAAATTGAACAATTGAACAATTGAGTTCATTGAATATAATTTGTTAGGTTACCCAAAGTAGACCATTAATTTATAATTCAGATGACATTTAAAGAGAGCTTATCATTTGTATATTAATATGATGTATATCCAAAGATAAACATCATATTGTATGGACATTTATTGGAAAGTTTGAATGGAATAAAAAAAAAAAATAACTGGATCTGAAAGGAGCACGGCGTGCATGTGATGAAAACACGAGCGTGCTCTCTCTGAACTTGCTAAAGGCTCGCAAGTGCTCCACAATGAAGTCTATTAAAGTATTTTTCTTCTTGCATCATTAATGATTAAAGCTATGCATTTAAATATTACCACAAGGTGAATCTAGATGCATAATTAAAGTTGTTATTGTTTGAATCCATTTTATGTTTACTCAAGCATTAACGTATGAGTATATGTGTATGTTGCAGCTTCTTTTAACATTTTTGATAATGGGCCACTAGGTTGATTAAGTTCAAATGATTGAAACTATGCTGATGGTCTGAACAAATCCATTATCAGTTAGGAGTTCTGGACTTGGATTTGGCATTAGTCTCTGAAAGCCAGCAGCCATTACAGAGACAACACTGAAAGCTAACAAGTCCCATTTATGAGGCTTGGGAGCGGTCTAACAGGCTGAGCTTGAACTTATGAGGATGAAATGGCTGAAAATGTTAAGCCATCAATGCCCAGAACAGACAATGCTAGAGAGTACATCTGAAAATTAAGGAATACTCCCAATCGACAGTAGCTGACAGTCTGTCGTAGATCCTTAATGAGTGATGCTTAACGAACCCAAATGAAGTTTGATTGGTCACAATCCATTCATGACATGTGACGGCATGCCAGATTTTGGTAAAGCCAAACTGAAATCAATGGAATGGATGTGAGTGAATCCTTTTTTTAGTTTCAATTTATTATTAACTCACTTCGCTCTTGAATTTGGTCAGTTCAGGTGAAATTACAACACCCTTAAGGAAAATGGAAACATTCAAGGAAACAAGGCCATGTTTGATACAAGAGGAAGGAGATTAAAGAAATTGAAAGAACACTCCATCAATCTCACTTTCATAATGGAGCTAGCAGCAGCAATAACAAATCAAAGGAGAAAAGAGGCAAGAAAAGGGACAGTGCCCAATGAAGGTTAATGAGGGCCAAATCCATAAGGAAAAAAAAAAAAAAAAATTTTGGGGGAAAAAAAAAAAAAAAGTTGCCCCCTACTTCTGTTAGGAAAGCATGGTCACTTCAAAAGGATTGTCCTAAAAGGAAGATTTGGTTTGAAAAAAGAAGGTTACTTTATGTTTCAGTATGTTTTGAATCAATTTATTGAAGTGCTAATAATACTGGTGGTTAGATTCTTGTGCCAACTACTCATGTGTTCCTCATATTAATATAGGGATTTATTTCTATCCATACCATAAACGAACTGACAGTTCCCTATTCATGGAAACAGACATGAAAGGCACGAATAGAAGGAATTGAGACTTATAGATTGATCTGGACCTGTCCGTTACTGGATCTTGAAAGTGTCTCTAATGTTCTGAATGGTGCTAGAAATTTAGTTTTCTGTAGGGAGATGTGGAATAATGTTGTTTTTAGTTTTAAGATTTGTAATGGTGTTTTTTTCATTATACAAACTTAAGTACTATTTATGGTTTCTGTACTTTGATCTGATAGTTGGTATCGTTTTAATCTTGATGCTGAATTTATTGAATCCTGTTTAATGTTGGAACACAATATAGGTATTAAAACGTAGTGCAACATAATGAAATCTTTTGCTTTCTTGTGGCATTTTCAAAGGTTTAGTGTACATATCCAAAGAAAGGATTTTGAGGTTAGTAAAAGGTGAAATCTTACCTCAATTAGACTTCACTGACTGAGACGTGTGTATAGATTGCATTAAAGATAAGCAAACTAAGCACTCATTAAAGAATCCAGCCACAAGAAGTAGTGAATTGCTTGAACTTATACACATTGATATATGTGGTCCTTTTGATGTTCCCTCTGGGGGTGGTGGAAAATATTTTATTACATTTATTGATGATTTCTCACGGTACGGTTATATATATTTACCGCATGAAAAGTTTCAATTAGTGGATATCCTTGAGATATTCATCAATGAGGTAGAGAGGTAGTTAAATAGAAAAGTTAAAGTGGTGAGATCTGATAGAGGTGGTGAATATTATATGGTAAATTTAATGAAAATGGATAATGTCCAGGTCAATTTGCAAAGTTCCTTGAAAGTCGTGGCATTTGTGCACAATACACAATGCCTGGTACACCTCAACAGAATGGTGTAGCTGAAAGGCGGAATCGTACTCTTATGGATATGGTTAAGAGTATGCTGAATAATTGTACTGTACCCTTATCATTATGGATGCATGCATTAAAGACTGCTGCATATTTACTTAATAGGGTTCCTAGTAAGGCAGTTCCTAACTAAGACCCCTTATGAACTGTGGACGGGAAGGAACAACCTAGTATGAGGCATCTTCATGTTTGGGGTTGCCCAGCGGAAGTAAGGATATATAATCCACATGAAAAAAAGAAGCTTGAATGCTAGAACGGTTAGTGGATTTTTTCCATAGGATATCCTGAAAAAAGTCAAAAGGGGTACAGATTTTATTGCCCTACCATAGTACGAGAATTGTTTGAGTCTGGTAATGCTCGGTTTATTGAAAAGGCCAAATTAAGTGGGAGCAGTGAACAACGTTAAGGTGAATGTGGCCAAGAG